AAAAATGACACCTAAGGTTGACTTCTGCTTCTACATGCACGTGCACACATACATGTACACACATGTATACACACACATACATACAAAAGGAAGGATAAAACATTTTCCTGGAGCAGAAGAGAGAGTGGAACTTTCTCTTTGGACATCAATTTGTTCTGAGATCTATTTTTTTTTTAAATGCTGTTATCATCACTTGATACTCTGTCCTGGATGTTCCACAAAGCCAGGACACACCTGTCAGTTTTTCTCAGACTCTGTAAATCACAGCATAAGGTCAGGAAGGTAGACAGAGAGCTTGTAGTGTGTCTTTGTTGATAGCCGATAAGTGTGTTTCGATAGGTCAGAGGATTGATTAAATTAATTTCTCTTGAGATTTCAGAGTTAGAGTAGATTACTCTTACTTTCTCTTAATTCAAGTAACCATCAGTGTCCCCCTGAAGAGGTGTGTGTGTGTGTGTGTGTGTGTGTGTGTGTGTGTGTGTGTGTGTGAAATCTGTTTAAAAGTATTATAAAATTCTTAATGTTATGTCTAAAGTCTGGATGTCCCGGCTCATGTTACAATGGCAGGCCAGAATTAAGAGACTCCACATGTATTTGGCGGCTCTCCTTGGTTTCATTTGATAGTGACATGAGGACACCGGTTTTAGATCTCACAGTCTCTTCAGATTCCCACACCGAGCGAGACCTCTGCACCCACTGTATTGTGCTCAAAGCACATTTAACTTAAAGCCAGGTGCCCTCTTCCTACCTGCTCTTTTGTGCTGAGCTTAAAGAAGTGTTTTAAATAGAGCTTGGGGAGGAAGAGTTGAAGGGATGCTAGTGGAGAGAATAGTTAGATAGTGGTCATAAAAGTCACTTGTGGGGGGCCTGCAGCTCAGTTGGTAGATTCTTGCTGACCGCTGCAAAGCCCCCAGCTTTAGCCCCAGCTTGCTCATGGCGGTCCATGCCCGTCACCCCAACATTTGGGAGGTGGAGGCAGGCTAAGAAGTTCAGTCATCCTCATCTACTTCAGAAAAACTTGGTCTACAGGAAACTTTGTCTCAAAAAGAAAACCATTTGTAATTGCTGTTTAAATTGTTAAAAAATTTAAGTACATGAACCCGTTCTCTCAAATATTTCCAACGGATATCCAGATTTTTAAAAACAATTGTTCTTTCCATTTGGAAACTATGTTGCTAAAGTCTGAAATATACTTGTTTGTTTGTTTGTTTAGTTAGAGTTTTTTGAGTCAAGTCCTCTCTCTGTAATCCATGCCAGTAGCCTGGAACTTATGATCCTCCTGCCTCAGCCTCTCAAGTGCTGAGCTTTTAGGCATGTGCCACTATGTCTGTGGTGACTTGAAAGAAAATGGCCCCCAAAGGGGGTGGCACTGTGAGGAGGTGTGGCCTTGTTGGAGGGAGTGTGTCACTGTGGGGGTGGGCTTTGAGGTCTCTTTTTATCAAGCTTCCCTCAGTGTGACAGTGAGTCAACTTCCTGTTGCCTCTGAGTCAACATGTAGGACTCTTAGCTCCAGCTCCACATCTGCCTGCATGCCACCATGCTCCCCGCCATGATGATAATGCACTGAACCTCTGAAACGGTAAATGAACCCCGCCCCCAATTAAATGTTTCTTTATAAGAGTTGCCATGGTCATGGTGTCTCTTCACAGCAATAAGAACCCTAACCAAGACACTGTCTTATGCTTTACTTTGTATGTGAGCTTGTGTGTCGTGTGCCTGTGTGGGGGTGCATCCACAGAGGCCAGTGGAAGACACCAGGCGGTCTGCTCTATCACTCTTCACCTTATTTCTTTAAGACCTGGAGCTAGGGTGGTGGCTACCAAATTCTGGGGAGCCTCCTGTCTCTACCTCTCACAGAACTGGGGTTACAGGCATGTGTGACCACACTAAGTTTTTTTACATGGTGCCAGGGATTCAAATTCAGGTCTGCTTTCATAGAAAGTACTCTTAACCACTGAGCCATCTCCCAGTCCTTTATGTTTTACCTTTGAATAGTTAATTTGTAGTTTGTGTTTTCTGATTTGTTACAGTCGAGCTTTTAATATATACATGATATATACATAATATATATGTATATATATATTGAAGCATTAAATTTAACCCACTTATTGGTCCAGTTTTCCAGAGACTGGGGGGCAATGATCTAAAAATAAAATCTCCACCTTCAGTGGTTTTCTTCTGAGCCTTTGTGTCCATCCACGCTGTATAAACACCGAGTCACAGCTAGCCGTGGTGGTACACACAGAGGCAGGAAGGTCAGCCTGCATTGTACGATTCATCCTTGTCTCAAACATTCAAACTGAACAAATGAAAAAGTAGATCCTAAACTTGAGTAACGTAGTCTTTGTGAGGAGAGGTCAGCCTGGTCCACATAGTGAGTTCCAGGCCAGCCAGGACTACATAGTCAGACCCTGTCTCAAAGCCAACAGGCTAACAAAAGCCAAGCCGTAAGTATTGAGTTACTCTAACGGCTCCTCAAAATCAAACTGCCTGTTCAGCGCTGGCCTTCTCCCCGATTATCCTGAGAGGCTGCAGGTGAGTGTCAAAGGCAGGCAGTGACAAGTGTGGCTACAGCTCAGTGACTTCAGCAGAGTGCCAGGTGGGCAAAGACTGCAGAGTTCTGTATGTAACAGCACACGAAGACGAAGCCTTGCCCTGTGATCTGAGCACATGCCTTCACTTTCTCTACTGGAAGCACAGCTCTGGGGCTGGGGGTGTAGCCTGTGGGAGAGTGCTTGCCTAGTATGCACAGATTCCTGAGTTCCATCCCCACTGCATTAACTGGGCTAATGGTGCACACTCGTATTCCAGAGCTGGGGAGGTAGAGGCAAGATCAGGAGTTCATGTCATCTTTGGCACAGAGGGAGTTCAAAGCCACCCTGGGCTAGAAACCCTGTCAAGAAGAAAAGAAGGAAGAGAGGGAGGAATGAATGGTATAGCTCTCCTCTCCCCCCCTCCCCGAGTATGGGTCCCTTCAGAACGAACTTTTTGTTGTTGTTTTACAAGGCATAGTGCTCCAGATACCTTCCCTTGGAATGACTAGTTTTCTGAAACCTCACCCTCCCTTTGCTCAGCGCAAGTGCTTGTGTGTGTGTGTGTGTGTGTGTTGTGTGCTTGTGGAGGCCAGAGCAGGGCAACCGGTGTCTTCCTCTGTTACTCTCTGCCTTCTTACCTTGAGACAGGGGCTCACACTGACCCGGAAGCTCGCTGTTTAACTGTTGCAGCTAGGCTGACTGCTCAGTTTGCTCTCAGGATCCTCCTGTCTCCACCCCACAGTGATGGGGTAACGGACTCCCGCAGCCATGCTCAGCTTTTACGTGGGTGCTGGGCATTCGAACTCAGTTCCTCATGCTTGCAGAGCAAGTGCTCTTACCCATTGAGCCATCTCCCAGCCCCTCCAGCCCCCCTTTACAGTCAGCCGATTCTTTGAAACGTGCCGACCTGCACGCTAAGCCACTGGTTGCTGAGAGAGTCTCATCGCTAGCCCGTCTTCGATTCTCAGTTTCTCTCTGCAGCGCCTACCCAACCCAGGCTCGATTCCATGAGAGTTCCCAATCAAATTATCAACCCCCTTGGTTTAAATTTAATCCCGAGGGTGAAGTACGTCTGGACCGAGGATCTGTGGATATGGCCGTATCGTTTTCCTTCTCTCAATATTTGTTCATTTTTCTCTGGAGCACAGGACAGCTTATGGTAGAGAGATACTACATATGATATTCTTGCAAACAACAAAAGACATTCTTAATGAAATGTCGTACTAATCTCTTGAATTTCATTCTTTTGTGATAGAATCTAATGATGAGATTAGAGCTCTACGCTGCAGACCGGAGGTAATCCTCTGCACTCCTCATCCTATTTATTTGGGTTGAAGAGTTTCACTTGTCTCTTTGGAGCGTCTATGTTAATTGAGTACTCAGTATTCATTACGAATAATCATGTCTGTTTTCTTGTTGAGCTTTGGAAGGCCTTTTGCCTTCTGTGAAAGCCGAGCAGACTGTATTAACTCCTGGTTTAATTTTAAAAAACCAGTGTGGAACTTGTGGGTGCTAACGCCTTGAAGAGCCACATGTTTAATAATGGGAAGGCTCTCCATCAGATCTGAATTAATAATGCTGCTGACTTATTGTTTTAGAAGACGGAGTCCTTGACCCGCTAGGTTGAAAGCTTCGTGGCCGCCCTGAACCTCTGTGGGTCCTTTAGCTGAGCCATTTCCCCCGTGAATAATTAGAGGCATTTGAAGGTATTGCATAGAAGCCAATTTGTGTCTTTCACTTTGCATATTGCTGAAGCCTCATGAATTAATCATAAGCAGGGCCAAAAATTAACTTCTTCAGACACATATTTTGATGGGTCATGAGGGAGAATGTAAAGTGATCTGTAAAATATTCTACTGATCCTCTAAGTATTAAATTATTATACCTACGGGCTAATTTCAGGAGGGGGCGGGGGAGCCCCTTCCCTTCTGGAACTGACTAGTCTATTTGAAAGAGATCAAGGTTTTCTATTTTCCAGGGATATAAATGAGCAATGTAGGCAATCCCCTGAAAATCTTCACTCTTGTGTTAACTCTCAATTTTAATTTAAGGAGTTATTGTTTTCAAATTTTTAAATTACATGTATTTGTAAGTGTGTGTGTGTGTGTGTGTGTGTGTGTGTGTGTGTGTGTGTGTGTGTAAGTGTAAGTCAGAGGACAGCTTGTGAACTCTGAGGACTGAACTCAGGCTGCCGGGCTCAGCAGAAAGCTCCTTTACCATCTCACTAGCATGAATTATTCTTCCTTTTATTTTTGAATTATTTGAGTTTTAATCTGCTATAACCACACCAAAACTTCTGGTTGGTTTGGTAAAAAGTTATTGCGCAGTCCAACCATCACATCAACTTGTCTTTTCGTTTTAAGCGCCCATGATAACAAACCAATGTAATACGGATTTCCATACTTGCTTAAAATCTAGTTTCACATTAAAATCCTGTTTCTCTCCTTTTCTGTTTCTTCTTTTCAGCCAGTGAAACTGAAATTGCTTTCTTCTGCGGAGAAGATTATAAGAGATACAAAGCTAATCCCACTTCCTCCTGGTGAAAGTGCCCGGGGTACACCTTTGCATTCCTTTCTTCCACAAGTGAGTTTTTTAAATTGTCAAATAAATCTTTAAAAAATTAATCCGTGGATGATCTTTCTCTATAGGGGTCTCTGCCATTCTCTTTTCTTCTTTTCCTCCTCCCTCCTTTCCCCCTTCCCTCCCTCCATCGCTTCCTTCTTTCCTTTCTTGTCATAAAATGAACAAAACATTTGATTTTGAAAAATGAAATAAATGTTTAAAAAGCATCCCCAGTAATGAATAAACCCTGTGTGAAAGCATATGCCTGGAACCCCAGCACGTGAGAGGCAAGTCGGGAGTTCAAGGTCATCCTTGTCTGTTAGGAAGTTCACGGCCAACCTTGGCTACATGAGACCCTGTCTCAAAAATAAATGATTTTTTTCCCTAAAATTAGGAACTATTTGGTGGCTTAATGTGTTGGGTTCTTTAAAAAGATACAGCAGAGCAGGAGAGATTGTTAAGAGCACTCTGCCGCACAGACATGAGGGACCGAGTTCAATCCCTACCACCCACGTGGAAAGCAGGCTGCTGGCCTAGCTCCTGCAACCCCAGAGTCATGGAGCGACGGACAGACAAGAGTGTCACTGGGGCGTGCAAGCTGCCGGCCTAGCTCCTGTAACCCCAGAGCCGTGGAGGGACAGACAGACAAGAGTGTCACTGGGGCGTGCAAACTGCCGGCCTAGCTCCAGGTCCAGTAAGAGACCCTTCAAAGGTATGAAACAGAGTGACTGACTGAACAGGACCCAGCATCCTCTTCTGACTTCTGCACATGCTGGGGTGGGTACACCCTGCACATGAAACACACACACACACACACACACACACACACACACACACACACACACACACACACACACACACAAAAAAAAAAAAAAAAAACTTAAAAAAAATTAGAGAAAGATACATCCAAGATTATACTGTTTGGTGATACTCTTTAGAGAAACTGCTATTGTCTTTGACTGGCAGAGATCTCAGGAGGCTGTTAAGGGACAGTCAAAGCCATTACTTACCCAGGAGTGTGAGATGTGCACCCTACAAGGCATTGGGTAGAGGTTATTTTGGGGAAGTTTCCTAAAAGGAAAGGGTTGTTTGCCCTTTTTTTTTTCATCAGTCCTCACAAATAATGCTGCTAGCATTTTTCTTTTCTGGGTCATTTCCTGACTTTTATTACAGCAAACTGTAATAGAACCAAATTCATTTGTTGAGAGAGAGTAGGTAGCCAGATGTGTGTACTTCCAGGAGAAAAGCGTGAAGACACAGTCTGTGTCCTGGAAGACACAATCCTCCAGAGCAGTGTGATTCTCTTGGTGCCTGGGGGTGCTGAGCAGTAGCTGTTTTGTGGGTCTCAGCTAGCACGTTTCGGCATAGATCGTCCAGAAGGGCTGGCTGGCTCTGGGCTTCCAGTGCTGGCCTCTTCCTTTGCAGAGATGGGGAACTGGTTTCATCGTGGTGCAGGTGCGAGGCAGCTAATGTTTTTCTCTTTAAAGGAATCATCTCGAAGAGTCTGATTAGCATGGTCAGAAGCACTCCGCTTTGTTGGAAGGTTTAATAGAGTCCTTTTTTAAAACAGAGATTGTTTGTTTTATTCATTCGCTCATTAAACGAAGTGCTGAATACACAGATGGCATCAGACAATTTTTGCCTCAGTAAGTGGGAATGGTAGACATGCTTTTACTAGAATGGCAGGACAAACTGCCACAGGAGCATGGACAAGGGGGCCATCAGTTCTGTGAGGTGTTATTTTTGTTTTAGTATTTTTCTAAGTCCTGGTTGAGCTGTGTCTTCAAGAACCGAACAGATAGTTCTGCTGAGGGAAAGAATTGTTGCCGCTGTAGTTGATGTTGTAGTGCTGTGGTTGTGGTTGTTGTAGTGCTGTGGTTGTGGTTGTTGTAGCTGCTGTGGTTGATGTTGTAGCTGCTGTGGTTGTGGTTGTTGTAGTGCTGTGGTTGTGATTGTAGTGCTGTGGTTGTGGTTGTTGTAGTGCTGTGGTTGTGGTTGTTGTAGTGCTGTGGTTGTGGTGGTTGTAGCTGCTGTGGTTGTGGTTGTTGTAGTGCTGTGGTTGTGGTTGTAGCTGCTGTGGTTGTGGGGGTTGTAGTGCTGTGGTTGATGTTGTAGCTGCTGTGGTTGATGTTGTAGCTGCTGTGGTTGTGGTGGTTGTAGTGCTGTGGTTGTGGTTGTTGTAGTGCTGTGGTTGTGGTTGTAGCTGCTGTGGTTGTGGGGGTTGTAGTGCTGTGGTTGATGTTGTAGCTGCTGTGGTTGATGTTGTAGCTGCTGTGGTTGTGGTGGTTGTAGTGCTGTGGTTGTGGTTGTTGTAGTGCTGTGGTTGTGGTTGTTGTAGTGCTGTGGTTGTGGTTGTTGTAGCTGCTGTGGTTGTGGTTGTTGTAGTGCTATGGTTGTGGTTGTTGTAGTGCTGTGGTTGTGGTTGATGTTGTAGCTGCTGTGGTTGTGGGGGTTGTAGTGCTGTGGTTGATGTTGTAGCTGCTGTGGTTGATGTTGTAGCTGCTGTGGTTGTGGTGGTTGTAGTGCTGTGGTTGTGGTTGTTGTAGTGCTGTGGTTGTGGTTGTTGTAGTGCTGTGGTTGATGTTGTAGTGCTGTGGTTGTGGTTGCTGTAGCTGCTGTGGTTGTGGTGGTTGTAGTGCTGTGGTTGTGGTTGTTGTAGTGTTGTGGTTGTGGTTGTTGTAGTGCTGTGGTTGTGGTTGTAGCTGCTGTGGTTGTGGTTGTTGTAGCTGCTGTGGTTGATGTTGTAGCTGCTGTGGTTGTGGTTGTTGTAGTGCTGTGGTTGTTGTGTCTTGTCTTTGTTGTTGTAGCTGCTGTGGTTGTGGTTGTTGTAGTGCTGTGGTTGTGGTTGTAGTGCTGTGGTTGTGGTTGTTGTAGCTGCTGTGGTTGTGGTTGTTGTAGTGCTGTGGTTGTGGTTGTTGTAGTGCTGTGGTTGTGGTTGTTGTAGCTGCTGTGGTTGTGGTTGTTGTAGTGCTATGGTTGTGGTTGTTGTAGTGCTGTGGTTGTGGTTGTTGTAGTGCTGTGGTTGATGTTGTAGTGCTGTGGTTGTGGTTGCTGTAGCTGCTGTGGTTGTGGTGGTTGTAGTGCTGTGGTTGTGGTTGTTGTAGTGCTGTGGTTGTGGTTGTTGTAGTGCTGTGGTTGTGGTTGTAGCTGCTGTGGTTGTGGTTGTTGTAGTGCTGTGGTTGTGGTTGTTGTAGTGCTGTGGTTGTGGTTGTTGTAGTGCTGTGGTTGATGTTGTAGTGCTGTGGTTGTGGTTGCTGTAGCTGCTGTGGTTGTGGTGGTTGTAGTGCTATGGTTGTGGTTGTTGTAGTGCTGTGGTTGTGGTTGTTGTAGTGCTGTGGTTGTGGTTGTAGCTGCTGTGGTTGTGGTTGTTGTAGCTGCTGTGGTTGATGTTGTAGCTGCTGTGGTTGTGGTTGTTGTAGTGCTGTGGTTGTTGTGTCTTGTCTTTGTTGTTGTAGCTGCTGTTTCGTTTTTTTCCTGAGACACTAGCAAGCATTCAGGCAAGGCGGCGTGGGAGAGCGTGGGCCTTTAGTGGGAAGTGCGGGTTCCAGGGGCTGGGGACAGGGACTGTGATTTCAGATTGTGAAAATAAACATGGAAAAATGATGAGTGTGTGAGAAGAACGTTTGGATAATGTGCATGACCCTGGGAAAGAGAAGACCTTCAAATGTGGCTTCTGACATTCATCAAATCTGACATACAAATATGAAAACCTAGGTCAAAGGTCACAGTGGCTGGAGAGATGGCTTAGCAGTTAAGCTGCTCTTACAGAGGACCTGAGTTCAGTTCTCAGCACCCACCTCCAGGAGCTTACAACCACTGTAACTCCAGCTTCAGGGGAATCTCGCACCCTCTTCTGGCCTCTGTGGGCACTGCACTCATGTACACAAACCCACACATAAGCATACACACATACATATAATTTAAAAATTAATCTTTTTAAAAAAAATCACATGAAAGTCAAAATACAAAGACTGAAAGAGTCTATTTGCACATAAAAATGAAGGGCTAGTTTCTAGTCTATTTAAAGGACTCTTGCAAATCAGTGAAAAGAAGACAACCATATAATGAAAATTAACAAAGATTTGTAGGGAAGGAATACAGGGGACAGACAAGATGCTCATCAGTTAAAGGACTTGCTGCTGAGCCTGAATTCCTGAGTTTGGTCCCAGGACCTACATGGTGGAAAAAGAAAACTGATTGCTTCAAGCAGTGTTCACACACATACACACACACACACACACACACACACACACACACACACACACACACACACACACAGAGAGAGAGAGAGAGAGAGAGAGAGAGAGAGAGAGAGAGAGAAACACACGTATGTATGACAAATATCCCTTTTCCAAGGAAATTCAAGTTCAATAGCAGGATTCCACTTTCCATTAACAGACTGACTAAAAAGAAAGCCTTGGGCCGCCGCTGACAGTGGTGTGCCCGTACTGCTGATGGGAGAGTAAATCTTACCCAGTCATTTAAATGAGCAATTTGGAGGAGTGTCTATTGAAATAACTGTAAATTATAGGGACCCACAAGTCCAGTTCTTGGAGTCTTTTTCCAAAGAAATGTCTAAGAAGGGAATTCGCTGTAGTGTTAAAATAGGAAACTGTAACCACCCTAGATGATGGTAATAGAGTTTGCGTCACTGTGTGTCTCTGTTCTAGATGAGGACATCGTGCCACTTAGTGACACTGAGTCTGAGACATGGTGATGAGACTGTGGAGGGTCTCAAACAGATGTGACGCCAGTTCTCAAAAGCAGCCCTGCGCCGGGGAGATGAGGCTTGATGGGTAGAAGTGCTTGCTGCCAAGCCTGATGACCTGAGTTCAATCCCCAGGACCACATGGTGGAGGGAGAGAACTGACTCCCTCACATACGTATACAAATACACACGGTGATCTATATGGCGGTCAGCATTGATCTTCACTTTGACTGCACCTAGAATCACCATGGAGACAAGGCTCTGAGCATGTCTGTGAGTTTCTAGATTTGGTTAATTATGATGAGAAGGCCTA